CTCTCTGATTCTGATACGATGGAAAGCTGACTTCACATCTAGTTTCGTGAACCACCTAGCTTTTGAAAGTTGTCGCAAAGTTTCTTTAAATAATGGAAGGGGATACCTGTCTGGAAGAGTGACTGCATTCAGCCCGCGATAATCCACACAAAATCGTAGCCCTCCGTTTGGCTTTCTAGCAAAAAGTACTGGCGAGGCCGCCGGCGAACTACTTGGTCTGATCCATCCCTTACCCAGAAGATCTGTCAATGTTTTGCGAAGCACTAGAAGCTCCTCTCTTGACATACTGTAAAGAGGGCCCCAAGGCGGATGGACTGGCTTCCCATTCTCATTTCGGAGGTTTATAGCATGGTCAAGGTGATCTCGTGTAGGCGGTAGATCATTAGCGCCGCTATCGTCAGAAAAGAGGCGCGCGAACTTCTTCACAGGGCCCGGTAATCGGTCTCGAGCATCAGAGATCTTGAGACAATGTTTCGTACGGAGTGCCTTATTTATGTCGTCTAAGGAGGCTTTGCAGACGGGAACTCCCTTTTCCAGAAAAGATAATGCCTCAACAGCAGCACGTTTAGGCTCCTTTATTCCCCTTAGTTTTTGACGCCAGCGTCGAACACTGTAAACAGAACCACCGCTCTTCCTGAGTTCCAACCGCTGCTCTTTGGAATGAATTACTGCATCCTGGTCCTCTAACCATTTCTTCCCAAGTATGATCTGATGTGTACTGTGTGGTACTACATACAGCCACAATTTTTCAGTAACAAAGCCATCAAGGTCTATGGAGACCCAAGTGATACTTTTTACTATTGGCTTGTCTTGAGATGAATTTTCTGCTGTCTGAAGGGTTCGGGGAGAGATAGGTTTACATGGTAAACTTAGTAGGGCTGCTAATTCTTCATCAATGATACCTGAACACAGGCATCCATTGTCAATTAATGCTTGCACCATAGTGACGTCGTTAACTAATGCATTAACTAAAAATGGATTTGTATTCATCTTCGGTTCTTGTTCAGCTGCTGTCAAACTTTTTGAAAACTTTTTATCCAATATTATTGGCTGCACAAAATCTTTCCTTTCTTCTTGAATCGGTCTATCACTAGTAATGGCATTAATAAGGGGTGGCGATGTGTTCTTTCTCATTTCATGATCTGTAAGACAGCTCCCCATGACAGACCTCTTGGCTGACCAACCCATTGTTTCTCCTCGATCTCTTATTTGCTGAATTTCGATAGGACGGTTTATGAGTCTCGGAGAAATGCTATACGGATCCAATTCGTACACTGCCGGATCAATAGGACCTAGACCATCATCATACGGATCCACTTCGTAGACTGCCGGATCAATAGGACCTAGACCATCACCTTCCGGATCCAATTCGTACACTGCCGGATCAATAGGACCTAGACCATCATCATACGGATCCACTTCGTACACTGCCGGATCAATAGGACCTAGACCATCACCATACGGATCCACTTCGTACACTGCTGGATCAATAGGACCTAGACCATCACCATACGGATTCTCTTTCATATTTTTTTTATAAATATGTAAACTTTTCTTAGTCTTTCGTGGATTAATTGCTGGAAGAAGGTGGCACACCCTAGATTGACATCCCCGTTTCTCTCATCTGAAGCAGCTTCCTTCTTTCCGAAGCTTAGCTAGCTGATCTTCTGATTTCCATGTTGCCCTAAGAAAATTGTTTTCCTCCATAGAAATGTTGCAATGATCCCACTTCATCTTTGCAAAGTTGATTGACTGCAATTCTGACTGACTGATTGACTGCAATTCTGACTGACTGACTGACTGACTGACTGACTGACTGACTGACTGACTGACTGACTGACTGACTGACTGACTGACTGACTGACTGCGATTCTGACTGACTGACTGCGATTCTGACTGCAATTCTGACTGACTGACTGACTGACTGACTGACTGACTGCGGTTCTGAAGTTTGTGGAGAGAATTATAATATGTCACGGTTTCATAACAAAATGCATGGGCAATCTTGTAGGTACAGTATATTAATTATAATTCTCTAGAGAGAGAATTCTAACAGCTAGTGACTACAAATATATATAATCCAGAATACTCCTCCTTCCATAGGATTCCCTCCATGACCAGAATTGTTTGGATTCTTCGACAACTTCCAAGAAGATTCTGGATTACACCATTGATCTCATTGCCTGCGCTAGCTAGCGTAGGCTACAGGGATAATTAGGCTTAACAGCCGTTACACCTAGACGGGCGAGCTCAACGGTGATTTTCGTATTAGGGCCAATTCCTAGTTCTTTGTATCTAGAAGGGGCACTTTCTGCCCAATATAGTGCGACTGAAGCCTCGTAATGGGCTTTGACTTCTCTCCTTGCCCTCGCAATGGAGAGTTCTGAGTGTGGAGCTGGAGCTGCACAGGCAGCTTTGGCAAGCGCGTCGGCTGCTTCGTTCCCGAGAATACCTGCGTGGCCTGGGCACCATCGGATAGCCACTTTCCCAGGCCTCGTATTTTGACCGCGTGATCTTCTTTTCCAGTTCATTGCGAGCTTGCGAAAGGTTAGTGTTTTTGCCGAGCTGGACGCTGTGGGCGTATCTAGGAGCAGACGGATGGCAGCCTCCTGGTTGTCAAGGCAGACAGTGACGTTAGAGGCATAATAGGCCAGTGGGTTGCGAAGAGCTGCGGCAAGAACTTCAGTAGCTCCGGCAATTTTTGCATCATACACTTCTGCCGAATTTCCGAGCGGGAGTGATCCTCGTCCAATCTCTTGCGTAAGACCTCGGTAGATGACATAGCCCGCACCTGCTCGGTCGTCTATTAGAGCTCCGTCTGAGAATACGAACAAGTCAAGAGTAGGTCGTGTAGCCTGCCACTGTTTGAAGGGATTTGATCCGAGGAGTCTACCTACTGCACCAATTTCGATGAGCTTTTCTTCACGGGATGACGACCACGGTGGAGGGATGATGTCCTCGGAAAGTTCTGGCGAGATTATTTGACGGATCCAGCACATGCGGCTAGTGTTCCAACCCCTACGAAGAGGATGATAGGGGTCAGCTGCAGCAATTCGAAACGCTAGACGGCTGTGAATTCTGTTAAGCCACGTCTGAGCTGGGCCCCAGCCAGCTTCACGTAGAAGTGCTGCTATTGGTGTGGTACGGTAAACTGGGAGAGCTGCCCGTGCCGCGTCGTTCATCCTATGTTGGACTTGCAAGATAATTTTTTGGGAAGTCTGTTTAGAGTACCAAGTCTCGGCCCCGTAGAAAAGGGTCGCAAAGGCAGCACCTTGTAGAGCTTGTCTTAGAAAAAGAGGGCTTATTCCTCGAGCCGTGGTGAAGAGTCTTTTCATATGACTCGTGATAGCTAGAGACTTCCAGCAAGCCTGGATAGTATGATATTGGAACCGAAGAGCACAATCGAAAAATATTCCAAGCCAGCGTGTGTGGTCATTCGGTGTTATAGTTCTCCCTCTAATACTAAGAGTAGGCTCTAGTGGTGAGCCTCGCTTCCGGTGAAAGTATTACAGCTCAGTCTTAGGAAGTTCGAAACTAATTCCGTTAATAAATCCCCATGCTATGGTGCTGTCTAATTTCTTCTGGAGTTTGCGTGCACACTCGACAAGGGAGGGCGCAGACGCAAAGAGGGCAATATCATCTGCATAGCCAAAGCGGCCAGTGGAAAGACGTAGTGCCTCTTCCATAGCAAGAAGAAAAATAATTGGGGATACAGGTGAGCCCTGTGGGATACCACAGTGAGTTTGTAAGGGCGGAGAGAATGTATCTTCAATAGAGATTGTGGATTCCCGCTCTTCCAAGGCATGAGACTAAATATAATCAGGCTTCCGCCAATGACTTTGGTCACATCATGTGAATGTTATTCGATATAACAACAAAATGGCGACGGTGTTGTGACTATGAGCTTACGGTAGTCAATGAGCTGAAGCTCCTATTTAACATTATGCGCAGGACGTGATAACCTTGTGGTCTGATTGTTGTGTATTGAAGACTATATTGATCTAATGGGGAGAAGATTTTACTATGTACAAGATTGAGGTGTCTGTGCACTGAATATCACCCAACACAACTACCACTCTAATCTAATGTGTTCCCTATAGACCACACATTATAACAGACGGCGACATCGATATATCGAATATCGTTATAACGAGTCCGCACTGTAGCTATACTAGTACCGAATTACGTTCCATGTTAATGCGACTCTTCGTTGCCAAGTTGCGCCAATTTCAACAGATATTAGCGGTTGAGGGAAGGGTGAAAGTCCCTAGCACAAGCGTCTCGAGTGATATCAGCGAATGCACCCACTGCATGAGTGGTCCAAATGTCAAACTGAGATGTCGTGATATGTAGTCATCAGAGACGAGCTAGTCTTCTCTGTGTCGTGCTCTCTGAGTGCTGGGCTTGTGCCCTTCGCAAATGAATATCCATTCCATTCACACCCTGAAGTCCGCCATTTCTCCTGACTCGCCCGACAGCAACGCACCACGGCCCATCTTGCATTTAGCCGACTATGTGACAAATCTTGAAGAAAACTTCGTCTTCGTTGTTGGTGTTTCCGGACGAAGACGATAAAAATTGCTGATGGATAGCAGCTCTTTAGGCAACACAAATAACACCACTCTACACGGGATCTAGATCTTTCTACATTTAGACAACATATTTCATGTATTCTTCAAAAGGAACTTGCGTGAATAAATTATGCAGTGCAATGTATGATGACTCGTATGGGTTTAGCAATTAAGATTGGGAACATTACAGAAATAACTCCACCCTTGACTCGATAAAGTTATATATATTGAGCTACGCAACGAATGGCTCGATGTCCGATCCATCCGTATCTCAAGATACACGACGCTCTCTTGGATCTCCGCTGAAAGAGCGACGTGGGCATCACTATTCTACCTCCATCTGCAATCTTTGAGTGAGCTGCCGCACTCTTGAAGTAAAAACACTCCAGACTAAACAAGCACCACAGGACCTTCATCAACTCTGCAACAATGCGCTGCATGCTTGCTCTTTTATTGCTTAATGACATCAGACCGAAGGATAATGACCGTTTAATCACCATGCCATTAAATGGGGATTATAAATATTATCGAATATACAATTCGAAAGGATTACGACAGTTCCGAGGCGTTGAGGCTGGCAGTGACGTAATTACGGCTGCGAGGCAGATTAACAGTCCCGGCACACATATAGCAGTCTATTGCTCTCCATCCCAAGATTCAAGGTATTTGAGGAAGTATATAGCTGAGGGCGCGACTGAGCTACATGATTCATCTCAATTTGGCTTTCACCAGGATCTTTCTCAAGAAACCAAATGTCTCGAACAAATTGAAGCGGAGTTCGAAAAATCACCGGTCACAAAGTTAATCCCCATTAAGCAGTTTTTGGACATAAAAGAGTGCAGTAAAAGTACAATCTACAGTCTAGCGTTCCAAAACTATTTTTGTATTCAAAACGTTGCAAGCGCAAAGCTTACGCCTTGTGATTCTATTCGTTACCTTATAGGTGTCGACTATCTATATCTCATGTCCGATGTGGTCCTGGGCCGTAAATTCATTTCGCAAACGTATCATGATGGTCTGCAGACTGCACTGGCGTGGTATCAAGGTTATTTAAATATATTTCAAAAAAGTCAATATGAATCCATGTGGAAACCAAAAAAACGATCTGCACAGGAGACGGAGGATTTTGATTACATCATCGACTTTATAGCCGAATCTTTTGCCGAAGTTGGATCTATCAAGTCGGTGCTGATGCAAGGTGTAAATACCATTAGTACAACACCAACCGATGCTCAGACGTTGAGGGAAGATCACCACGTCAATAAAGAGCTCTACATCAAACAACAATTAGGTACCCTCCGCCAGAAAAATTTACGATTAACTGACTCACTTGCACACGGTTTAATTGGTCCATTTGTGAAATAAAGTTTATGGTGATGGAATAAACTGTAATCTTTTCGGGCATGCCCTTCGAAAACTGGAATGTAGCTTAGTGGGGAGGAGGATTCCTTGGGCTAGGTCAGCGATGTGGCAGCTTTTGTCAAGGAAGTTGGTTTTTGGGGGAAGCTAGAATGTCCGCCAAACGGCCGAAATTATGATATGAGTGAAGCGGAAATCTCTCCGTCATGTATTACTGTAGCTAAAATATCGTAATTTAATGATGAGATGTTTTACATCAGATAGGTTCCACAACCAAGAATGTTTGTTGTTTTGCGGCCCAGAATGACCATTTTTCCACAGCTCTCAACTGATTGCGTCGTTTGATCTAAATTACGTCAAATCTGTCTACGTGATCCCATACCCCTTGGCCTAATTCGTCATTTTTGTTCCGCATTTAGTTCTAGACTTCTACGGGTTGTTTATTTGATATTCATTGCCTAATTGTAGGGTCTCAAACTAGTCAGATAGATCCGAAGAGGTCTAAATTATGACCACTGTTTAATTTTGGATTGATTTGACTAGACTGCTGTGATAAAAGTCCTTCATACAGACTGAGATTTCTTTTGTTTCTTCAAGGTCACACACTGAAGTTCGAAGTGCACTACGGGTATAGGTCCAATGGATGCTGTGGTGATCGGCGTGCATAAACCTAGCTGATTCCCACCGCACGTGATATTCCTTGACAATATGGTCATTATCCACGATTGCCACTCGTTGTTAAGGTGCGGTCGAAGTATAGGCCTTCAATTGGGTACACCTTGGTCAAGGGTGACCATCAGCTGGGCTGCGATGAACCGTCGCTGACGAATTTGGTACGACATTTTACCGGCAAAGCAGATCGAGCACTCAATAGAGGCCGAGGCAATGTTGTCTCGGTCTCGGACTCTTCGACATGTGTCCGGCCGGTTGAGACAACTAGATGCGGCATTACTGGGACTGAGCAAATAAAAATAATTAGAGAATGGGAAGGTCGTTGAAATTGGTGCTTCCAATTATGGTAAAGACAGGGATGTGTAGAAGACACGTCACTAATCTCCCATTAATTGTGAGGTTAGTATTAATGCGCTTTGACGTAAATACCAACCACTAGATTTTATTATTACAAAATATAGTTTATATAGCACTCTGTGTCCTAGTGGGAGTAATTAACAACTCTCCACGACAGATTTACAGACTCCTTTACTTTCCCACCCGCTTCACCAAGTGATATAATCTGTGCCTAACAGCCACAAGCTTTTGCATACCAATCCGCTCAACAAAGGTGACAAAGGCCCGGCGTGTCACTGTCGGGTTCTCGGTACAGCTGGATGAGACATGTTCAGCGCTGGAGTGAAGTCGGAGATGGTGCGATTCTTTGAGTGAAATGAGTGTTGACTATGCAATGGTACTCAATGGTAGTCGGATTGATTTTGCTAAGCCCCACTACTGCTTGAGATCCTCCAGAATCTCGATTTTTATCAATTAATCCACCCCGGATTTTAGCTATAAACACAGTGACGAAAGTATGAGGGCATAGATTAAAAGCTAACAAAGTCGAATCAAACAAGGACTCAAATCAGGAATACAAACCACAGGATTCTAAACTATAGACTGAAGGGATGGACAGGAGGGTAAATACTGGACACACGTGCGCGGTGTCCTCTGCGAAGCTGGGAGTTAAATATTCTCCCAGAGCCAAGTCCAGTCAAATTTCGTAATACCCAACAAGTTGGCCCACGAGTCAATGACTCAAGACACTCCATCTAAACAACTTCTCCCACCCAATGAGATCGATCCCCATCAACCCCTTATCAAGCTTACAGGTACGACATAGTACATTCTCCTTTCAATGACCTCAGTTGACCACCAAATACACGCCCACGCCGATATTCGCACCACAGGGAGGAAGCAAATCGTGGCGCATATGGGACTATTCTCAATACCTGTCAGTGGTGTCCCATACGAACCTCCGGCTCTCACTGTAGAGTCTGCAGAGCCAAGATTGAGTAACAAAGTCCTCACTTTGACGAGGATTCCCAATCACTTTCGACGTCTGTATCGTCTGTATCGTCTGTATCGTTTTCATCTCTCAACACATTCCCCTATCACCACTATCATGAAGCTAACCACGATCAGATCAGATGGTAAGGTCGGAGCCCTACTCATCACCAACCCTTGATCATGGAGGAGAAGCCATCCGATGAGTTACCGTAGCGTACCCAGCACCCGATACAGAGATGGCGGATTGGATCAAGTCGACCTCAACTATTACAAAGAAAGGAGATGTAGATAAATGTGCCAACCTCATGTGGTCACAGAGATGTAGCGGGTTACGTAATGTGGTTATGTAACTAGAACTAGTAGCGCAGTGGTCGTGTATTTACGCGTCGTAGATAGAAAACAGTAGAGCACTTGCGACCTCCCACAGCTCCGAACCTCAACATATTTCTGGTGACCTATACAGGGAACTCTGGAGTGGTAGTGTACATAGGTCGTAAGCAACGAAGTTAGATATTTCCCACTTTTCCACACGCTGTAGAACGAATTTTCGTGAGAAACATCTTGAGGACTTGAGGTGAGATTCTGTGAACAACCTGCAACTTACCATCGAATTGTCAATTGAATCACTTGACTCATGGAAACACAGTCATTCTTCTCCTAGAGAATTAGCGATCATAACTTACTCCTCTGGTGCAGAATATAATCTCTTGCAAAAACTATTCATCAGCATAGTACGGTTTACGAAATTAGGAACACATCTTCGCACGACTTAGATCAATCCTTGGACCGTCATTTCGAACAATTATCTAACAGTATATAGGAGTCCTGTTTGAGATAAACCACAAAAAATCCGAGAGTCAACAGTTTTAATTTTTTTTAAACTTTATTTATTTTGGTCCTTTCTATTCGTCCTGGCCAACTTTCGAAGGACACGCTCATTGAAGACTGCTAGCTTTGATAGCTTATCATAATCATCTGACGATTTCTTTAATTCTGTAGAAGCTACTGAGTTTAACTTAAGGATCCGGGAACTGCCCATCCAACCTTTCAATCCACACCATCTTTGTCCTCAATCTCTTGAGCATATCCACCACAGAGTTCCAAATATGACTAATAAAATGGCCACAGTTAACATAGATTTTGTCGAGTCGCTTGATGGCACGCGAACAGAGCGATTTTTCCGCTTACTGCATGACGCTTTCGATGAATCTGGTGTTGAATGGACACCTGCACAATTTGTCAAGGCAATCGACAGAAAAATTAAAGGCGTAGCGTTAGACGTGCCGGAACAAGATGCGAGATGCTGTCAACTGATGAAAGATGCGAGAGATCCACTAAAGGCTATCTCAATAGAAGATATCAAATACCTTGAGCTCCACTTATTGAAGCAATTTTCAGCCAATGAAGTGAAGAAAGTGGTTCCGGATGAACTTGTTGAGGATCTAACTCAAGATCAGGACAAAAAAATCGAAGCCTACTCTCATCGGGCGTTCGACATTGTCCTAGCATTTGATGTGACAGACGGCACAAAAAAGAGTCAAGCGGAGAGCTACATTTTGAAGAAAGTTGTAAATGCTTTTGGTAAGGGATTATATAACAGGATTCTCAGAGATCAAGTTCGCAGCAGTCGTGACTGGTTCATGTGTGATACGCTATCTGCAGCGACTCAGGTCGTTCAATCAACTAGCAAATTCTTGGAAGCGAAAGCAGAAGTAGAGAAAGAAACGACAAGGATTCGAAAACTTGATATTCTCGAATGACTGGAGCAAGGAATACTCCCACAACCAGAATATGACGCTTATCGTGTCTCACTCGGGAAGCTGAAGCAGCAAATCCCAAGCCCCTACTATTCTGCGAATTCTAGAGCCGTCCGGCTGACCCCACCACCTCAGCAAGCGTTGCCAGAGCACAAATTTCCGGCTCAATATAACATAGCACAAGCTCCATTGAGAAACCAAGAGACCATCCCAGAACTAATCCCCAAAGATCAGCAGCTACCAGATCCAAGGACTTCTCGCCATCTCTTGATAAACGGCCAGCGAGTGTACAACGGAGAAACATGTTGCTACAAGTGTAGCCAATTCGAAGGATTCGGGGTGCATCTAGGGAAAGATTGTGGGAACCAACCAATGTCGTACTGGGAACAATCTTGCATCAGAAAGTTACGAGATCCTCGGAATTCCCGTACCATTGGCTCGTTTATAGCTGAGATAGCCCAAAACGAGGGGTCACGGAAGCAAGAGATATCGGGAAGGTAGGAGGTGGATATGTCGAGTCTTGGATACAAAGATGAGCAATCCCTGCAAAGTCAACCCCAAAAATTCGCAAGAACCGGTACAAATGAAGTCCCAATTGTCCCTCGACAGATGACTTGGAAAGATTTGAGACAGGTTAGAGGAGATCAGGTAGAATTCGATACAGTGCAGATAAAGAAGAAGTTGAAACCCAGAAATTTCGACGCCAAGTCAGGAGTATTTACCTCAGAATTACCGATTAACCATGACTCGAGCTTTTCAGATACAAAGTCAGAGGCAAATCTAGAAGCTTTTCCTATAAGAGCGCATGCCATAGTTTCTACAGGAGGCTTAGACACCGTTAGGGTTATAAATTATGATGAAAGAAAAAGGGTCGCTATGATGCATAGCATTGGCTCGTCAGAGGGCCAAAACGCTTGTCAGAACAGCATGTAGACAGCATGTAGACAGCAGGGCGGAGGCATGGGTCATCGAGGTGGTATTCAGGCCAAAGGGCGCCATCCTACATTACGCATGAGATAGGTGCATAACCACTCGGCCAAAAGGCCAGACCAGAATCATAGAACACTACATCTGGGTATCTCCACATATATAAATTATACAGAAGACAATCCTGACAACGCTAATGTAACGCCAGAATCAGATGGCCGAAGTCGGAAGACTCCATCAAAGGTTGCAGATGCACTCTCACGGACAATATTACCAGATCCTGAGTGTGCAATAGACAACCTTTCGGACTCCCTAGGTGATATTACCGACGATCAGGGCAGTAAGCCTTAGTGGGTATGGGAAGACATGAAGGGGGGATATGCAGAACTTCTACGACTGCGCAAGATCCAGGAAGATGATGCCACAAACCTTGATTCGAAATCTATTGATTACTCAGCCGATCCTCCGCACAAGGATAGCTTAGAGGAACAATTAAATGCTTTCGCTACACAAATGGTAGAAAGAGAAACGAGGTCGAAATACCAAGATTTGGAGTGGTACCGAGAAATCTGGATTGCACTCACAAGGGCCTCCGACCCTTCGAAGTTCGATCGAGCACAGGTTACGAGATAAAAGCGACGTTGCAATAATTTTGAGGTGATCGGGGACGATCTGTTCTTTCGGATGAGAGGGGTGCGGAAGAAGTGTGTAACACTCCAAGAAGTTTTGGAAGTAATTCAAAATACTTAAGATAAGAAGCGTCGATGGAAAAGCTGCGAGGAAATAACTTCATCCAGTGTATTGAGGACTCTTGGACGTGGCTGGCCATGGTGGCTCCCATGGAAAATTTTACCTTTTAAGTCTGATTAGTGAGAATGATATACCGAGAGCTTGCTACGGGTACCAACTCAAGTCATTCAAACTTAGGGAAAGTCATTGTCACAGTTCCGATAAATAAAGCTTGGGCGTTCATATGTCGATAGGTAAGTTTATTTAATAACTGAATAACCAGACTACTGCTACACTCAACGCCCTATTTATATACATGATTCCAATATTTCAAACACTAGTCTCTGTCCTCTAGTCCGGCTCCCACTATTAAAGTGTGGGCTAGTTACCAACGATGTTTCGTGCACGGGAAGTACCAGACTTTCAATACCAGCGTATCTTAGCGCTGAGGTAATGAGTATGCATGAGATGAATAGCACAGGCTACAGGCAATTTACCGGCTTACTAGCCGCCACAGTCATTTAATCACTGGTCGAGAAGGAAAAGTACCTTTCTATCAGAATCTCCGTGCAGGAACAGCAAGTCATAAACTACCTGCAGCCGTCGGAAATTGGGACCCAGAATGGAGTGCAGACAACTGATTGCAGCTACAGGACTTATTATGAGATTTCATAACTAATTTTGGGAAATGAAGCTATGTTCGGTGTTTAAATCTTGCCATTACATGAGCACTTTTATGGTCTGGAGAGAGTTATAGATCGACTGATTACTCTGAAGTCTATCATGGTATTCAGAGTATATATTTTATTCACCACGTCAAGGGAACTTTTATAATCTCGTAAGTAATTAGACAAATTTTTAGAGCAGAAACAAAAGGGATAACAGTACTCGAGCTATCTGCACATTGTCGAGGACCACAAGTTGCTGCTACGGGACTAGAGATGTGCAGGTTACGTAATGTGGTTATGTAATTAGAACAAGTAGCTCGGTGGTCGCGTATTTACGCGTCGTAGATAGAAAACATGAGAGTACTTGCGACCTCCCACAGCTCCGAACCTTAACGTATTTCTGTCCCGATGTCTAAGCCTCGCCTGGCTGGAGCTGCAGGATTTTTGAGACTTTTTCCCGCGCACGCAGTTTCCATTGCTACCACTTTATTTTTTGGGGGTAGAAGACTCCGTGGAAAAGGTGGCTGAATTCCACGGGTAAACACTGAGCTGAATGGCATTTCATCAAGGGGAGTATATCAATGATCTTACATGAAACATGAGAGGCAAGGAGCACTGTACGAGGCGTGGCCTGAGTCAGAAAGGAGCCCGATGTGCTAGGTTGTCTATGACTCAACTAGTACAATAAAGACAAAGAAATAGTACTGGTCATGTGTCTTAGCTTTATAGCTGCAAACACATTAAATGATTTTGTTAGAATTTAGAATAATTGGGGCTATCAAGTGGGCCACGTTGTTGCTACACACGTGACTACAAATTCTGTACTTAGTTTCACTTCGGTAGTCACTTGAATCAATGCGCTCTACAATCTCAATGGCTGAGGGCTCATTATTTCCTTAATCGATAAGTTATATTATCGCCATTTTAGACAGGTTCAATTGCTCTTTAATTTACACGCCTCTACCGTATTGTACCAACAGGCGGGCAGCTGTTTGTCATGGCAATGTATTTCCTACCTCCGCTACCTCTGAAATTATTCTTTTCGTTTCCTACATTGAGGTGCTACATGCGCATGAGCCATTTTTTTTGCATCAAATTTTAATTGCGTATGCAGCTATCTAGCTGTGACACAATATCAGAGGAAAGTACAGAAAAGATGACTCAATTTACAAGAGGAGCACTCATGCCTCGGATTTCATTTGCAGGTACCACTGCGAAGTTATCGTAGCTTTTTCTTCACCCCAAGTCAACCCTCATCCGTGAATATCCACCCAGGGGAACGTCTCAAAAGCCCTGAGATATCCAGACATGCCTCTATCATCTTTCAACTTTTCTCCGCGCGATATGTAATCTGAGGTGTCTCCTTCCCAAGTGGAGTAGGTGCCCAGGCTACTCAGACTATACCGGAGAACACCACCAGGAGGCGGACCACAACATCTTCCATCGTTTGCTTGTCTTTATAGTGTGAGCTGCACTCTCGCAAGCGAAGTCTTGGCGCGCACAAAGCTGAATTCGTAAAACTCTTGCCAAAATTCAGAATTTCACTCCCTGCGGGGTTACACCCAGTCCTTTGCATCATCTTGTAAACTTGTCCTGATACCTCTCACGTCCATCCCAAAGAACTGTCTCCCAGATTTGCTTCCTCCGGCGGGTGTAAATATCGGCGTAGGCGTGTATTTGGTGGTCAACTGAGACCAGAGAAGGTCGAAGATAGGTGTGGTCATTGAGATGAGGATGTACTAGGTCGTACTTGTAGACTTGATGAGATTTAGGTAGAAGTCAAACTCGTTGGGAGCGAAAAAACGACGCGGAGGAGTAATTTGAATCATTGCCTCGTGGGCCAACTTCTTTGATATTGCGAAATTTGACTGAACTTGGCTCTGGGAGAAGATTTCACTCCCAGGTTCGTAGAGGACACCGCGTACAGGTGTTCAATCTTGCCCTCCACGTAGTTCTTTCTTTATACAGAATATGAACCTTTATTTTTGGATTCACCTTTGCGAACAAGCTATCGTGATTATTCCTTTCACAATACGATAAATTTCCGGAATGATTTCCGTTCTCATACATTTACCTGTTACTCGATTATCATTCTTCAACCTCTGAATATCGTTTTGACCAGGTTATTTTGGTTAGATGGGTGCCAATTGTGCCAACAAAAAAGGGGATTTCTGTAGAGCAACGACGTGTTATGCGACGATGGGCGCACCGCCAGGTTTCAAACCCAGCACAAAAACGGTGCATTGAGTGGTTCTTCGCTGAGTACGGCCACCGATTAAGCCAGTCCACAGCCTCCGAGTCCTTAAACAAGACCTTTGCGAAACTCAACGAAGCTACAAGTACTACTGAGCTACGACAGGGAGCTGGAAGCTGGCCTGAGCTTAAGAGTATTACAGCGATTAAAGGCGGCAAGTGGGAGTATGAAAGAGGAATCAGTGGTAAAAAGTAGCATTGAAAGCTGGATTTGATAATCATATCCTTTAAAGTGATATCCTCTATATGACGATATTATTCATGGCCCCGATTACATCGTCTTAACAGGGGTCTTACTGTACTTCAACCGTAACTAAACAGCGTCTGGTAGCCGTGAAAAATGACCAAATTATTAAGTACTATCACGCGCGGTGCGAATCACTTGAGTTTATGCACGCCGATCTCCATCGCATTCGTTGGACCTATACCCGTAGTGCACTTCGAACTTCAGTGTGTGACCTTGAAGAAACAAAAGAAATCTCAGTCTGTATGAAGGACTTTTATCACAGCAGTCTAGTCAAATCAATCCAAAATTAAACAGTGGTCATAATTTAGACCTCTTCGGATATATCTGACTAGTTTGAGACCCTACAGTTAGGCAATGAATATCAAATAAACAACCCGTAGAAGTCTAGAACTAAATGCGGAACAGAAATGACGAATTAGGCCAAGGGGTATGGGATCACGTAGACAGATTTGACGTAATTTAGATCAAACGACGCAATCAGTTGAGAGCTGTGGAAAAATGGTCATTCTGGGCCGCAGCACAGCAAACATTCTTGGTTGTGGAACCTATCTGATGTAAAACATCTCATCAGAGTGCAGCTGACACTATAAACACAAGCCAACGATGGAAGGTGTTGTGGTCCGCCTCCTGGTGGTGTTCTCTGGTGTGGTTTGAGTAGCATGGGCACCTACTCCACTTGGGAAGGAGACATCTCAGATTACATTTCGCGCGGAGAAAAGTTGATGGATGACGGAGGCATGTCTGGATAACTCAGGGTTTTTGAGACGTTCCCCTGGGTGGGTATTCACGGATGAGGGTTGACTTGGGGTGAAGAAAAAGCCACCATAACTTCGCAGTGGTACTTGCAAATGAAATCCGAGGCATGAGTGCTCCTATTATAAACTGAGTCATCTTTTCTGTACTTTTCTCTGATATTGTGTCATAGCTAGATAGCTGCATACGCAATTAAAATCTGATGCAAAAAAAAAAAAAAACATCTCATCATTAAATTACGATATTTTAGCTACAGTAATACATGACGGAGAGATTTCCGCTTCACTCATATCATAATTTCGGCCGTTTGGCGGACATTCTAGCTTCCCCCAAAAACCAACTTCCTTGACAAAAGCTGCCACATCGCTGACCTAGCCCAAGGAATCCTCCTCCCCACTAAGCTACATTCCAGTTTTCGAAGGGCATGTCCGAAAAGATTACAGTTTATTCCATCACCATAAACTTTATTTCACAAATGGACCAATTAAACCTTCCGCGATTGACTCAGGTAATCTTAAATTTTTCTGACGGAGGATACCTAATTGTTGTTTGATGTAGAGCTCTTTATTGACGTGGTGATCTTCCCTCAACCTCAGAGCATCAATTAGTGTTGGACTAATGGTATTTCCACCTTGTGTCAGCAAAGACTTAATAGATCTAAGCTCGATGAAAGATTCGGCTATATAATCGATGATGTAATCAAAATCCTCCGTATCCTGTAATGATCGTTTTACTGGATACCAAGTGTGAAGAGATTTTTTCTTTTGAAATATATTTAAATAACCTTGATACCACGCCATTGCAGTTTGTAGACCATTGGCTTCGGTTTGCAAAATTAGTTTACCATTGAGTACGACATGAGGCATGCGAAAGAAAAATTCAATAGCTATTCGGCGACGATGAGGATTAAAAGGCGTAAGTATTTCGTCCACGTTGTTTTGGATACAAAAATGGTTTTGAAAAGCTAAGCTGTAGATTGTACTTTTACTGCACTCTATTTTTTCCGAAAACTTTCTGATTGGGATGTCCGTTGTAACCGGTGAGTTTCTGAATTCCGCTTCAATGTGTTCGAGACATTTGGTTTCTTGAGAAAGATCCTGGTGAAAGCCAAATTGAGATGAATCATGTAGCTCAGTCGCGCCCTCAGCTATATACTTCCTCAAATACCTTGAATCTTGGGATGGAGAGCAATAGACTGCTATATGTGTGCCGGGACTGTTAATCTGCCTCGCAGCCGTAATTACGTCACTGCCAGCCTCAACGCCTCGGAACTGTCGTAATCCTTTCGAATTGTATATTCGATAATATTTATAATCCCCATTTAATGGCATGGTGATTAAACGGTCATTATCCTTCGGTCTGATGTCATTAAGCAATAAAAGAGCAAGCATGCAGCGCATTGTTGCAGAGTTGATGAAGGTCCTGTGGTGCTTGTTTAGTCTGGAGTGTTTTTACTTCAAGAGTGCGGCAGCTCACTCAAAGATTGCAGATGGAGGTAGAATAGTGATGCCCACGTAGCTCTTTCAGCGGAGATCCAAGAGAGCGTCGTGTATCTTGAGATACGGATGGATCGGACATCGAGCCATTCGTTGCGTAGCTCAATATATATAACTTTATCGAGTCAAGGGTGGAGTTATTTCTGTAATGTTCCCAATCTTAATTGCTAAACCCATACGAGTCATCATACATTGCACTGCATAATTTATTCACGCAAGTTCCTTTTGAAGAATACATGAAATATGTTGTCTAAATGTAGAAAGATCTAGATCCCGTGTAGAGTGGTGTTATTTGTGTTGCCTAAAGAGCTGCTATCCATCAGCAATTTTTATCGTCTTCGTCCGGAAACACCAACAACGAAGACGAAGTTTTCTTCAAGATTTGTCACATAGTCGGCTAAATGCAAGATGGGCCGTGGTGCGTTGCTGTCGGGCGAGTCAGGAGAAATGGCGGACTTCAGGGTGTGAATGGAATGGATATTCATTTGCGAAGGGCACAAGCCCAGCACTCAGAGAGCACGACACAGAGAAGACTAGCTCGTCTCTGATGACTACATATTACGACATCTCAGTTTGACATTTGGACCACTCATGCAGTGGGTGCATTCGCTGATATCACTCGAGACGCTTGTGCTAGGGACTTTCACCCTTCCCTCAACCGCTAATATCTGTTGAAATTGGCGCAACTTGGCAACGAAGAGTCGCATTAACATGGAACGTAATTCGGTACTAGTATAGCTACAGTGCGGACTCGTTATAACGATATTCGATATATCGATGTCGCCGTCGCCTTTTTATCGTTATGTCGAATAACTGTCACATGATGTGATCACTATCATTAGCTGCAGCCTGATTATATTTAGTCTCATGCTTGATAATCAAGATAAAAACTACTGTTTCCAAGTATAGGTCTAAATACTTCATGTACTTCCCCACACGACTTTTTTTTTGCATCAGATTTTAATTGTGTACGCAGCTATCTAGCCATACTCAATATCAAAGAGAGATACAGAAGATATGACTCAATTTACAAGAGGAGCACTCATGCCTCGGATTTCATTTACATGTACCACTGCGAAGTTATCGTAGCTTTTTCTTCACCCCAAGTCAACCCTCATCCGTAAATATCCACGCAGGGAAACGTCTCAAAAGCCCTGAGATATCCAGACATGCCTCTATCATCTTTCAACTTTTCTCCGCGCGATATGTAATCTGAGGTGTCTCCTTCCCAAGTGGAGTAGGTGCCCAGGCTACTCAGACTATACCGGAGAACACCACCAGGAGGCGGACCACCACACCTGCTATTGTCTGCTAAATTTTTTAGTGTCTGCTGCACTCTCGCAAGCGAAGTCTTGGCGCGCACAAAGCTGAATTCGTAAAACTCTTGCCTAAATTCGAAATTTCACGCCCGTTAACAATGTCTCCCTCTCCTGCATCATCTTTTAAACTTGTCCCGATCGCTCTCATGTCCACCTCAAAGAACCATATCCCAGATTTGTGCACCACGCTTTGCTTCCTCCGTCGGGTACAAATATCGGCATGGCCGTGTATTTGGTGGTCAACTGAGGCCAGAGAAAGTCGACGAGAGGTGGGGTCATTGAGATGAGGATGTACTAGGTCGTACTTGTAGACTTGATGAAGCTTAGTTGAGAATCGGACTCTTTGGGAGTGAAAGATTGACATTGTGGAGTAATTTGAATTTCTGCCTTGTGGGCCAACTTCTTTGATGTTGCGAGATTTGACTGAACTTGGCTCTGGGAGAATATTTCACTCCCAGGTCCGCAGAGGACACCGCGTACAGGTGTTCAGACATGTCCTTCATGTTACAGATTTGGGGAAGCTCGTCCCTTATCCCCTAGCTTGTTCGCTTGTAGACCGATCACGTTACCAGTGTGCAGTTCACCAAAGTGTGCAACCAACTGAGCAGCCATGCCTTATATCCTATATCAACAACCCATCTCTCATGCTGCACACATCACTACTTGTAATGTTGGTATGTAGAGACTGGATCTCCTTCATGCGCCATAATGCCATGCTGCCACAATAACTACCTATGCACTAGCTACTAGATCTACCAAACTACTTAGCTGAGCATAACAGGGATGTGTTGAGAGAGGAAGACGATACAGATGGCGAAAGCGATTGGGAATCCTCATGGAGGTGAGGAATTTTTTACTCTTTCTCGGCTTTGCAGACTCTACAGTGAGAGCTGGAGGTTCGTAGGGGATACCACTGACAGGTGTTGAGAATAGTCCCCCTGTCATTCTCCGGAATGTTAATGTGAAATGAATACTATTGCGTATTAAATTTTCAGCGCTGGATGTGTTGATAACAATAAAATATGATGGGGAATTTCTTAGTCTAATTAGCCAGACCTACAAACATGTTATTCATTCCATTCCAAGATTTATTAAACATCAACAATGGTCACCCTTGATCGAGGTGTACTCAATTCAAGACAAGTATTTCGACGGCACCTAAACAGCGCATGCCAGCTTTGGAAAATGACAAATCTAATGCATAGTATCACGCACGTTGCGAATAAGCTTGGTTTATACACGCCGATCCCCACCGCATCGATTATCCCTTTACCCGTATTGCAGCTCCAAGTTCAGTATATTACCTTTACGATACAAAAAACAACTCAGTATGTATGAAGAACTTTTATCTCAGCAGTCTAGTCCTAGCGATCCATTATTAAATAGTGAACGAAAGTAAGACCTAAGCAGAAATCCCAGACTAGTTTGAGACTCTACAATTAGGCGATGAATTTCAAATAAACAGACTATTGAAGTCTCAAAGTAGATGCGGAACAGATACGATGAATCAGGTCAAGAGATAAAGAACAATGCAGACAGATTTGACGTGATTTAGACGAGGCGACGGAGTCAGTGGGGTGATGTTGAAAAATAGTCATTTTGAGTCATACAATAGCAAAAGGTTCTGTTCATGGAACCTATCCGTGCAAAATATCTCATGTAATTCAATTACAATACTGTAGCTCATGTATTACACAGCGGTGAGGTTTCTGCTTCGCTCGTATCACTATCTTGGCCGTTCGACAGAGATTTTAGCTTCAGCGAGAAATCAACTTCCTTTTCAAAGTTGCCCTCAACTTATCAAGAATTGGAAGACCTTGCCCCTTCTGTGCTACACTCCGATGTTGTTAGACCACTTTTGAGAAGATTACAGTCTATTTTTTCACCATAAAATTTATTCAATAAAAGGACCAATTAAACCGTGCGCAGGTGACTCATTTAATCGTAAAGCTTTCTGGCTGAGAATTTGAAGTTGCTCTTTGATATGAGATTCTTCTGCGGGATAATTACTGCTTTTAAGACGCTGGTCATCGGTTGATGTTGAAATAATGGTAATTTCATCTTGCGTCAACGCAGACTTGATCGATCCGATCTCGACAAAAGAATTGGCTATGAATTCAGTGATACGATAATAATTATCAATCTTCGGTACTGATTGTATCATTGGATGCCAAGTAGTATCAAGTTTCCCTTTTTGAAATATATTCAAATAGCCTTGATACCAAGCTAGCGCAGTGTGTAGACCATTGGCTTCTATTTTCAAAATGAATCTACGACCCATTACCACATCGGACATGAGAAATAGATTGTCGACACCTATTCTTCGATGATTACGCCTACAAGGCGTAAGTATTTGCCCTTTGATATCTTGGATACAGAAATTATTTTGAAAAGCCAAACTATAGATTGTACTTTTACTGCAGTCTTGTACGCGCAAAAATTTCTTAATTGGGATCAGCTTTGTGCCCGAGAAATTTTTGAGCTCCTGTCGAATATATGTGAGACATTTGATTTCTCGAGAATTAGGCTGGTGAAAGCCATACGCCGACAGTTCGTCCAGGTGATCAGCGCCTTTACTAATATACTCCGCTATATATCTTAAACTTTTGGAAGGAGAGCAATAAACTGCCATATGTGTGCCTGGTCCTCTTATTTGACTCTTGGCCAAAATAACGTCACTGCCGGCCTCGACGCCTCGGAAATGCCGCATTTCGTTTGGTGCGTACATTCTGTAATAATCTTGATGCCCACTCAATGGCATAGTAGCTAGACGATTATTTTCTTTGGTTTGGTCTCCTGTTAGCAGAAGAAAGGCAAGTATGCAATTCATTGTTGCAAATTTGATTCAGATTCTATCGTGCCCCTTCAGTTCGTATTGTTCTTCCTTCAAATTATTGGTAGCTAATCTGAAGATTATAATCTCAAGTGAGATTTGTGATGGCAACAGCGATCTTTTGGTTGAGAATAAAAAGGGTGTGGTGTATCTCGCAATACAAAGGGATTGGAGAATAAGGCCATACGTTGACTATTTCAAAGTGTATAATTCTGATGGTAAATCCATAGAGTCATTTCCATTGTTCATCCATATTACCTGCTGGAAAAACACGAGTAATGATGCATGGCACAACAAGATCAACTGACTCGAAGGCATTTTCGTGATTCCAAAATAACCCTAAGACCCAGTACGGACGATATCAACAACAACATTGTCGAAATTACATGATATCTCTTGTCTGACGTCTATCGTCACAGGGCTGAACCAAGTCTTAGATGGCTAGGTTGCAAGCAAGTGCTCAAAAAAGGTGATATTTTAGACACAATTTATTTCGCCATGATCCCGCCGGTGATGTCTCCCGTAGATATTTGTAAATTATTTTGCGCGTGCGCTAATGTTCAGTATTCGTAATCCGCGTCTGGTGACAGTTATGAAAATTATTGTCTCGGATTGTGGACAATTAACCCCTTTATCCGAGGAAATTACTACCAAGAATTACCCATATACGTTATGGTAGTATTCTGGAATTAAAAGAGTGAACATTGGCCGTCAAGTCCATCCGACAGGGGTTGTAAGTGATCGCTAATCATAAGATCAAGTATATTTTTTCTGTTGTGCATGTGTCAGAGACAAGAGCACACAAATATGCGTGCTGGGACTTGTTTAAAACAAAGCATACAAATTGAAGTCAAGTAATTTTTACCGGAAGTTATTGATGAAGGATTTGGATGTTGGGGATTCTTTTATCGCTGCGTTGTGATACACTTAATCGATCCTTCTAAGCTCGCTAATAGGTAGTCCCCATCGACTAGTGTTTGGCGAACGGATATTGCACAAACCCTGTGCCAACGTTTTTTTAAATCGTTTATTATTATTTCATTTTATTGTCCTATCTGAGTCTATGACTATGGAGCACATGCAGGTCCTCCCTGCCTACAGACCAAGGATACCTATGCCTCCCACACCTCTTACACAGCTCCACTCGAACAGTTCCACCCCTCACAAGTCCTCATTCGATCATACACTTAGAGGAGTCCTTTGCCCTTCATTATCTCTCCTCTCCAGCCAACCAAACGATGTATTAAAATGTATAACCCACAACTTAGTTCGTGGACTTTATTGGTAAAGGGAAGCTTATGCAATAATGAAGGATAAAAGGATGTCAATTCGATTACTCTATCAAACACAGGTACCAGACTTCTTTTAACCCCAATAGATAGCCCGTGCGAGATCTCCTATTAACAGCAGTAAACAACGCTAGCACAGGGTATACACAATCTCCGTTCGCCAAACACCAGTCGGTCGGGACTACTAATTATCGAGCCCAGTAGGATCGACATAGTGTATCCTAACACAGAAATCATAGAAAACTCAACGACCAAACCCTTCATCAATTACTTCCATTAAGCATCACCTGACTCATCTCTGAACTCCATAATTTCAACACGATGGCCATTTGCGGATGTATGGCAGCCAGGAAAAATCGCAAATACCACTGGGTGCGGAGCTTTGCTCATACCGACATTAGGACTAAATCCGAAGACATAGTGATCCTTCCGAAGCGTTCGAAGAGACCAGCCAGCTGGGCGCTGCAGACTTGTGTGTACCTCGGAGGATTCATCCTATGCCTTTCTAGCCTCCTTCCAACTCCTTCCCGAAGGTCGTTCTAAAGTGTCAAAAAAGTCTTGACAGAGCGTGATTGCTATATAGTTGCTTAGCCCAACTTCTTTCGTGCTGTCCAGGGCTCTAGGGAGTGCCGTTGACTCATCGACAATAGAAGCCCTCGTGACTACTTAGCCGAAATCTCGGTCTTGGCGCCTACCAACGTTCCAAATTCGAGAACATCTCAAAAATATCAGGCCTATTTCATCCTCGAGGGGTCTTTTCTTTATATTTTTCCACACCCCAGTCGCACGTCCTCACTCAAGATGTAAAGCCCCATTAGAGCAACAGTCCCCCATAAATCAAGACCCCAGCTTTGTATATCATGACTTAATTTCCTCCTTGCTGTTATACGTAGCGTCGTAAATATGTAGTAAGTTATGATCGGAATCATATGAGGTAGGCTCCTGTTTGCTATTGGAGTAAGGCTTTTATCGGTCGTAGGGGCGAGAAGATGTGTGGAGAGGTCAAGATGGGTAACTCTTGTGAGAATGACAAGACCGACATTGATTAGAAGCCACCGATTATAAATGGGTCTATGATTGCTTTAGACTTCGATTCGGATAAGATTCTTCTTGGCTCTCCCAGGTATGAGGTGCATACTGAGCAGTTACGCTGGCACCACTGGAGGGTGAAAAATTCGTCTTTGTAGGCTTTAAAACCAGTTATTGTGTATGCAGCTGTAAAGCTATGACACAAGATCGTTGCTATGTATATATGTTAGATGACACTTTGAGCGTTAGGGACACTCATGTTATAGATGTCGTTTGGAGGACTTTTCTCAACATCTGTCAGTGGTATCCCCTACAAACCTCCAGCTCTCACTGTAGAGTCTGCAGAGCCGAGATTGAGTAACAAAGTCCTCACTTCGAAGAGGATTCCCAATCGCTTTCGACGTCTGTATCGTCTTCATCTCTCAACACATTCCCCTATCACCACTATCATGAAGCTAACCACGATCAGATTAGATGGTAGGGTCGGAGCTCTACTTATCACCAAACCTTGATCACGGAGGAAAAGCCATCCGATGAGTTTCCGGAGCGTACCCAGCACCCGATACGGAGATGGTGGATTGGATCAAGTCGGCCTCGACTGTTACAAAGAAGTGAGACATAGATGAATATGCGCACCTCATGTGGTCCCGGTGTCTAGGCCTCGCCTGGCTGGAGCTGCAGGTTTTTTGAGACTTTTTTCTGCGCACGTTGTTTCCATTGCTACCATTTAATTTTTTAGGGGTAGAAGACTCCGTGGAAAAGGTGGCCGAATTTCACGGGTATATACTGAGCTGAATGGCTATTCATCATAGGCATTATATCAATAATCTTTCATGAAACATGAGAGGCAAGGAGCACTGTACAAGGTGTGGCCTAGGTCAGAAAGGAGACCAACGTCCTTCATGCTCTACAACTTAAATAGTACAATAAACACACCTCTCTCTCTCACTTTTTTACAAGCATTCGGGCTACTTTTAGACCCGTGCTGTATTAGCTACTCTTTGTACCTCTGTTTGTGTATTACTAGCTACACTTAATAGACCTTGACGCACGATCCCTAAATTGATCCGGAGTTTCCAATAGAGCTCTTCAAGTCTGGTGTGTACATATTGCTTCACTTCTTAGTTCGCGTTTCTATCCCACATACTCCAGGTCGCTAAGCTAGTTTTGCATTCCTAGTGCTTTCCATCGACATCTACCAATCATGAAGCCTTGAGCTAACCTGTTTTGTTAAACAGCCGCCAAAGCGTATCCGCCAGATTAACACTAAGCGCCAGTGTCGATCCTGACCTTGCCCTCCCATGCCGAGCTAACGCAGGAGCCAAGAGGTGTAACTTCCAGTAACTGTTGCATTAGATTCTGGGACAATCAGAAACATCAGCCATGTTAACGTTTGTTGGTGCAAACTCATGGGCTTTTCAGTTGCTCGGACGAGATATCATGTCTAAAAAATACCAATAACTTCTGTAATGCGCGTTCTCCCATCTCAATTCAGGTATCTTGACGCTACGAAGTAAAGCATCCCGTTAACCGAGTTATCTCGGCCATCGGAAGTTTAAAAGCAATTCCGCAAGCTATGCAGGTCACACATAGTTTCTCCAACCGCCCAACCGCCCAGCTGCATGAATGTGGAGAGTCGCATGCAGCTGTTGAAACAATCGGGACGTTTTGCGATAAATTCCCCTGCATGAAAGTAACGCAAAAATTCGAGCTTGCTTATCATTTAGGTCATTATCAATGTCATCATTCGAAGTTCTGGCCAACGTTTTATGCGCCAAGTGCAGTCCTTGCTGTCCTCCAATACGCCATTCGACTCTCGTTGATATCCGAGATCCCTACACATCGCATGTGCGCCGTGAATCCTTCATCACCGTTGCTGGCTTGCAACGTGCGCCTTGCATCGGCACAAGCTGATTGTTGTGTTAGAAACCAGGCCGCACTCGCCCAAGTATAGTCATCAGGAAGTACAAGAGCACGGATTTGATTCAGCTGATCAGAGTTAAGACCATCGGTTGAAGTATATGTGGTTTGTGATGCTAACTCAGGAATCGACTTGACGTATTGAAGGTTGAAGGATGCAGATTGCATGTTACGCGTACCTTGACCCGGATTGCCGGGAAAATGATTGATGTTATACTTGAAGTTGCCACTTTCAAAGGCAATTAAAGCTAGAATGGAAGCTTGTTCGCTCAGACTATTGATGGAGTATTTCGACATTGCAGCATTAAGAAATGGCGCCGCCTGAGCACTGGTAGCACATTCGTCTGATGGAGAAGGACAGGAATCAGAGCCGGGAGCTACTTGAAGTATTTGAGCACTGGTGATTTCGTTGTCTCTAAGCTGAATGGATCGAGCTACAATATGAGCCGGTCCCACGAAAATAGTAAAATAGAAAAACTTTAATCGCATGGTTGAACGTGTCAGAAGCGATATTGAGATTTCCGAATAACGGGAAGTACGGGAACAACGGCTTTTATCGTGGTTAAGATTGGTAGTGACCCCTAAATACCGAGTGCAGTGTGATCAATTTCCACGGCGCTTTTGGTGAATGACTGCTCTGTATGCTCAGCCAGCTATGACTATGAGGTGTGCTGTAGCATTTCCCGGGTGGGAGAGATCAGGTTAATAAAGATTTGAGACTCCCTGTTCAGCAATGACCCAAGTCCTGGACTGATGCCG